AGTGGCATACCCAATAAGTTTTTGGTTCTCAGTCCTGAATTTAATTCTTTTTTTTCCATTTTGTTCAGATGATGGATCCCATTGTGTTCTTTCGAGAGCTACCAAAGGCCTGCTTTTTTAACTGGTTTGGTTTATATTTTTTTCCACTTTATTCCTTTAATATGGTCTCTATCATGTTTCCACAACTTAACTTTCTGAAAAGCATCCCAGGTGAGTTTCATTACATAAGTAGTTAAAGGGTTGTTTTAGTCTGTTTTCTGTTGCTATATGCGTGGTTAATGTTTTCAACAACTCTTGGTTAAAGACAAACCACCAACAGTCACAATACCTACATGATATCAGTGTCTGTGAAGAAGGAGAAAGATGTAATGGCACAGCATCTGACTAACCATAACGGGAGAACCACAAATTAGCCAGCTCGCTGGAAAGAGCAGCTGACACCGGGAGGGTTTTGCCCTTTTTCAGTACAGGTTGAGTATCCCTTATCTGAAATGCTTGGGACAGAAGTGTTTCTAATTTTGGATTTTCTTTGGATTTTAGAATATTTGCATTATACTTAGCAGTTGAGCATCCCTAATCCAAAAATCTGAAATCCAAAATACTCCAACGAGCATTTCCTTTGAGTGTCATATATAGCCACTCAGAAATGTCAGATTTTGGAGCATTTTGGATTTCAGATGTTTGGATTAATGATGTTCCACATGTACCAGGCAAGTGCAAGGTGCCCAGCTCAAGAGGCACTATAGATGCTGGAGTAATGAACTCTCAAACTGACACCGCAGGGCTCCCTTCTAGGACAGAAACTCACAGAGATGAGTAACTGTTGGAGGTGGAATCATAATGCAAAAGGAAATAAATAAGAGAGAATAAGGAAATGAGAAGGTCCAAACTGAGCTGTTCTCACACGTCCACACATGTGGCTACCGAGCACTTGAAATGTGGCCAGTCATAATTCAGATATGCTGTAATTGCCAAACACACAGCACAGCAGATTTCAAAGACTCAGTAGGAAAAAAAGTATAAAATATCTCATTAATAATGTTTGTATTGATTATGTGCTAAAATGATAATATTTTGGATAGATGGAGTTAAATAAATTATTAAAGTTGATATCATCTGTTTCTGTATACCTTTTTAATTTGGCTAATAGAAAATTGTAGATTACATGGGTGGCTAGCAGTATATTTCTACTGGACAGTGCTCCATATTACTGAAGTTTGAGATGCTTTCTAGGCATCTCAAGTGAAGAAATTAATTAGGAAGCTGGATATACATGACTGGAGTACAAGGGAATGGGTAGGAGGGGATACACAATATTTTGATTCACCAGCTTAAAAAAATATTTAAAGACATGAGACTAGATGGGATTTCCTAGGAAGCCAATGTATGTAGGGGGAAAAGGCCAAAACCTGAAGCCCGGGCACTCCAACACTCAGAGGTGGGGGGTAAGAAAGTTCTAGAAGAGTGTGGGGTGAACACAAAAAGAGCAGTCTCTAAAGACTAAGGAACAATATCTGTGAAGGAAGGGGGCGTGATCAACTGTGCCAAATGCTGCCAAAAGGTCAAGTATGATGAAATCTGAGAAGTTTCCACTGCATTCCACAGTGTGGAGGTCTGCCGTGTGATACTTTCATAAGAAGGGACTATGGGAAGGACCAAAGGTCAAGAGAAGGAAGAAGAGCTTGTGGTCAATAGGGACTATGTAAATTTGGGTATGGCATGCTTGAATTAAAGACATTGAATCAGGGTCCATTCCCAAGGAGACTAAAAACCCAGGAGATACACTAAAATGCTAGCATGTAGTAGGGTAGTTGGCATCTCTGCTTCAGCCCACAAATCTGGCTCACTGCAGGAAGGAACCTGACCTGGGACCTGAACTATTGCTTCCCTCAACATCTGGGATATGAGGAAGTGTTGTGTGGCCAGGGCCACCTCCAGGGACAAGGCTCATCTTCCTAGATATATATCCCTGGGTGTCTCTTAATCTCTGGGGCTGGGCTATGGAGCTTATTATGTGCATATAGGCCAGCCACTAACCTTTGCAGCATATGGTGCAAAAGGACAATGGAAGTCCTCTAGCCCATGTCATTGATCTCTTCCTCCCACTGTCAGATATGTCCTACACCATGAGGTAGGCTGACTCTTAAGAACACCTCAGCCTGCACCTCCAAGCTTTGTTTACCCTTTGCTACCAAAAAGACTGGTTGCTTGGCCACCGTTAGGGCCTAAGAGTACGTGTACCATAGGCCCAATTCTCCGTTCCTTAGAAAGGACCCTGAGAATCAGTCCTTGCAGGACCTGGAAGCAGCAATAGGGAATGTTTCTACAAAAGTGGCATGGTATTGGGACTTGGTGGGCACATCTCCTTGTCCCTGTGGGCTCTTAGCTTTGTGGTATGAATACAGCATGAGCAGGGCCTGAGTGGGACCCTCTAAAATGCGGGGCCCAGGACTAGGGCCTTTTGTGGCCAGGTTCATGCCTGTAGTGATCACATACCTGAAAATCAAAGAGAGGAGGAATATGAGAAAAAAGGCAGAGTGAGTTGGTTTTTTTTAACTGGTTTGGTTTATATTTTTTTCCACTTTATTCCTTTAATATGGTCTCTATCATGTTTCCACAACTTAACTTTCTGAAAAGCATCCCAGGTGAGTTTCATTACATAAGTAGTTAAAGGGTTGTTTTAGTCTGTTTTCTGTTGCTATAACAGAAATACCTGACACTGGGTAATTTATAAAGAAAAAAGGTTTATTTGGCTTACAATTCTGGGACAGCTGCATCTGGCGTGGGCCTCAGGGTGCTTCTGCTCAGGGTGGAAAGTGGTAGGCAGCCGGCGGGTACAAGCAGACCACATGGCGAGAGGAAGCAAGAGAAAGAGGCGGTGCCAGGGTATTTTTAAACAACCAGCTCTTGCGGGAAGTAATAGAGCCAGAACTCACTCATGACCCCCACCATCCAGGGAGAGCATTGATCCATTCGCAAGGGACCACCCCCATGACTGAAACAGCGCACAACACTGTCACACTGGGGATCAGATTTTCGCATGAGTTTTGGTGGGGACAGCACATCCAAACTCTATCAAGGGTCAAGGTGAAAGTACATAATATAGAAGTTAAGACCATATCACCAGTTATTGCAAAAATCAGGTACATACCCTGTTCACATATCTGTGCCTTTCGTGCCTTTCTCTCCAAATATGTCTACACACACACACACACACACGCTCACATACCTACTCACAAACTCAGTCACAATTATTTTTTTACATTGGAATTATCCATTTTTTTTCAGTAAATATCTGACCATTTCCCCATTATCAATCACTAACCTTGAATCACCCTCCCAAGACACCCTCCCACACACCAGACCTCCCATTTCAGGAGCCCTGTTGCCAACACACAAACTCTTCCTTCCTCTACAAACTTGAGGCCTTCTCCCCTCAGACTCCTGACCCCTGCTGTTCCCCCTTCCTGATCCTGGGTCTTCCTCCCAGCCTCCCTACTCCCATCTGGGTTATCCTCCCGCCCCCTCCCCAACACTTGGTCATGCCCAGCCTCTTTCCTGATCCTGGATATGGGTATCTCCATCACACCTCCTTTTCTCGAGCCACTTTGGATTAAACCCTGTCCTCTTTTTCTCATCCAGGCTGCAAATCTCCTATGCTAAGAGGTTATGCAGTGACTAAGTCCTGGACAGAACTCCTCTTCCAACAGAGACAATAAATGATTGATAAGATAGTGTCACACTCCACTTCTTTTCCAGAGTCACTTAGCATGCCCACAGCCTTCTTTTAATTCTCCAAATATGACATAGGATTTACAGTTTTACGGACCCCCCCCACACACACAAAACAAGCAAAAAACCCTACAATTTTAAAATTAAACCAATATCTTAATTTTATTCATTAAAATACTTGATTATATAAAAGTTACTTGGAAAATGGAAATCTCAGCTTAGGGCCAAAGACAGGGCCTTCTGAGGGAGAAGGGGGCCTGGAATCAAGGGCCAATAGCAGATAAGTGCTGCTTGGTGGAGTCATGGGGAAAGGAGGCTTCAAAACTGCTTCAGAACTGGTTAACGGCTAGAACTCCTGGAGATCTCACAGGCAACCGCGGAGCAAGCAGCCCATTCAGCGCAGCGGGCAGATGTTGATTTTTTTCGCGGGTCCTGGAGGATGCTCACAGGGGGTGGTCACACTGCAGGCGGCATAGGGCGGTGAGGGCTCCCTGTTTCGGCCTGCTCTCCTGGAAAGGCAGGGCTCAGGGCATCAATCTCCGGCAGCAAGGCGCGCCTAAGGCTGGCAGGGCTAGGAGTGGGGATGGACCTCAGGCCTGAAAACTTATGGGGACGAGGAAGAGGAGCTCCGGCCAGAAAACTCAGTAGGGGAAGAGGAAGGGCTTCGGCTAGGAGACCTAGGGGAGGAGGTGAAAGAGGAGGAGAAGGAGGTACAGGAGGAGGAGGAGGTCTCACCATATTGCTCAGGGAAAGGAAAGAACCTACCAGGAGGTGAGGGTGAGGAGGCACGCATACGGACTGCATGCCAAGTAGGCTGAGAACCAAGGCTTGGGACCTGAGGATCAGGAGCAGCGGCGAACCCAACGGGAGGATTCCCGCCAGCCGGCCCAGACAGAGACTGGCGGCTTCGCTGGGTGGAGCGTCT